ATGATTTTAAAAATTGTTCTCTTATTATTATTTTAATTTGATATTTAATTTATAAAAATATATATTTATAATGATAAATCTGAAACAATATACGAAAAATTTCGATATCTAATACATATCATTCCAATAACAAAACTGATATGTATACCGATACGATATTGATAACTTTGCCAACAATTGCTGTGTAGTCAAAGCTCTACGAAGAGGTAGAGTTAGATGCAATCTCAAATGCATCATGATCATGTCATAATTTATAGATGACAGCAAATGGCGGAAGCACCGTGTAACTTTATTTAGCAAGTAAACACCTAGTAATTCAAAAACTGTCACGCTCACAACAGGCTGCACAATCTTGAGAAAATGAGTGTCATATCTCATTTACAGTACACCTTTCTGCAACAATGGCGCAATTGATTTCTGGGACAAGAATGTTCTGCACAAGCTGATAATATCCCATAAAAGTTCCCTCCCCCAAAGGGTTCGCAAACAAGAACAGAGAACACACTAGTATACAGATTAGCACTTCGATGTTTTCATCTGAATCAAAGTGCCTAAACTCCTAAATACAAATCTAAAAATGCTAAAAACGAGTCCAAGAATAATAAAATGATGTGAGCAGTTAAGTGATACACTAAACTTATCCAATCAGCAGAAAAACCAAGCTTTGATTGAATTGAACAGCTTGATTTTCAGTTAGACCACACATGAACCAACCCGTTCTTGTTTCCAGTGTAGATCTCATTGCGGTCTTCATCATAGAAAAGGGCAGTTATGTCTTCCAGCGCTTGAGCAACTGTACTTGTCATGTGAGAAATACTACTGCTGCTTGAACGATCAACTTTAGAACTGCTGCTAGGACAATCAACTTTAGGAGTGCCATTTGATGCATTTATTTTGGCTAGGCATTTCCCAGTCAAGATATTGCTTATATGGATAGACCCAGCTGCATCAAAATGAAAAAATTACTGATAAATCACCAGATCAAAAATCTTCGGCTATATCAGTGATGAACAAGAGTCAAATAAACATGTCCTTAAATTTCACTAGTACCATGATCAGGCAACAATTCGAAGAACAACTCAATGGGTAACACTGCCTGGAATATTGTCCATCTTCCCTACCCCATAAATGGTAAGGTCAATTATCTGGTTGTTTACCAAATCTATAAACCAGAACAATTACACCAGGTGTGCTTCTAAATTGGACTAACCTTAGGGGAACAATACACCATTCATAGTTCCCAATGATAGTCAAACAACATAAAATGGAATTTGAATTTCCACATGGTAAAATTAAAACAAGAATGGAACAACCAAGGGAAGACTTCGACCATAATTCAAATATATTTGATGTCTATCTAAAACAAATGATTGCAAGAATGACTAATAAGAAGGTACAACAGTAACTGGTTATGCTAAAAATCTCCATTTAGCAATTAGGGTTCAGATTTGGCAACAATCTACTACTTTGATAACTCTTACTGTCAAATGAAAGAAGAAAGAATTACCATTGCCTTCCATCCATTGATCTTCAGATTCAGCCTTGCAGTAGGAAATAATAAGATCTTGATCGCTTGTTATGTAAATGTTATTTGTGTTACAATCTGGATGCCACAAGAGGTGATCGTCAAATGAAGTTACGAGCTCCCCACGAAAATTCCAGACAGCAACATTCCGGTCTTTAAATGTCAGAAATAACTGGTTCTCATACAAAAAGATGAACGCTGATGGAGTCATGAATGCAGTTCTGCTAACTTCCATAATCTCTGCATTCCGAACCTATGAGGAATACAAGTTGCCATTAGTAGCATGTAAAATAATCCTTTCCCTGCAAGTTAGATTGACAAAAAACAAGGCTGCAACTGAAACATTCTTTAAAAAAAAAAAAAAAAGGAAAACACAACTCACATCAAGGATTTGGAGATTCTCATGCTCTTGCTTAACAAGAAGCTTCTCATTGAATTGCTCAATAAAGTCAACCTTCTTATTTCGATGAAGCAGATGCTTGAAGGTTTTAAGAACTTTACCATCTTCTATTGAAAGAATTTTAAGAGGAACATGACCACTATCTCTCTCAAAAATCAGTAACATGATGCCTGGACTGTAGAGGATGAAATAGAAAATCCAGTAAATATAAGATATTTCCAAAGAAAATAGGCACTTTATTTAGATTCAACACCTCATGAACTCTGCAACACACTGGCAAGCACATACAGATGCACACAGGGTGCAAGAGAAAGAACGGGGGTGGGAGGGAACTTACCTGATTTTGATTTCATTGACTCGTCTATCCGATATAGAATACAGCATATTATAGTTTTTCAGATCAAACACCTTGTATATGCTGTGAGTGAAAACCATACTTAGAACATGGCTACAACATCACAAATTAGAGCGCTAAAGACAAAGAATTACCTATCTTGGGCTGAATATGTCAGCACCTTTCCATTAACATCATCAAACTCTACAAACCCAGGCCACTTCAAAGTCTCTGACTCAAAAAGAGGAAAACCTGCATCCGGCTTGGCTCTTCGTATGTATCTAATATTCAACAAAAGCAGTATATCAGTATGAAATAACAACATAAATGGCAGCAGATGAGAGCACTGGTACAAAAAGGAAACTATCATCACTCACTCAATCTTTGTAGATCTACATTTCAATGAACTGAAGTTGTCCGAACCATATACAGAAACTGTGATAAGAGAATCATTGTTCTTGTTATAGAAAAGACTTCGAATCACTTCATCAGGACTAACATTTAGAAAACATATCCTCTTGTTTGTCTCTGCATTTAGAATATAAAAGAGTTCACATGTTAATTCCTCCTATTTGAAAAAAGGTTCAAGTAGGACTAACTTAAGAGTGTTTGATGTATGATATATGACTCTACTGTCAGAATAAGAATTATGACCAACCTCTACTAAAGGCAGCACATACACCTGAATGAGCTAGAGCAAAAACAATGTCCCGTGCGGCCACTATCTCCATCACTTTCGTTCTCCTCATCAAAAAGTGTAGTGCTTCAGGAGAATGGCCCTTTGGATCATGAGTATCATATTCCATCTGCAAACAAGCAAGCATAAATCATCAGATACTGCAATGGATCAGTTGGGCTCCAATGCATCCTAACAAGATGAAGTAAATTACAACTTCCCATGTAATTTAGTTCAAGATACGAAGCTACAGAGAAAAATAACTTTGGGTTTGTGCAGGAGATAATTAGAAATGAACTTATTTTATATGAAAATCATGTTTGTAGGATATAGCATGTCATAACTTTCTGCAACCCTATAAAGCCCTAATCTTACAAATTAGCAAGTGTCTACCGTATCAATCCTTTCCTTCATTACATAGATGAATATAGAGCTCTTGAACACACCCAACACGTAGGAATTCCAATAAAAACTAAACAAATTCCATGATGATTTACCAAACAAATTTGACCATTTACACATCATTATAACATAAAGAGGTGTGATACAAAGCCAGCAGAACCCTAGAATCGTCTTAACTGCATAACCCAGCCGTTCACACTGATTCTACGTTGAAATTTAAGCTAATAAAAGTACAAAAAAATATAGAGAAAGCTAACTAAAATGAATAAATTTGAGAAAAAAAAATAAAAAGGAAAAGGAGGTGAAGAGTGATACCACCAAACGCATGTTCCGGAACTTCTCGTGGCCATTGGAGACCGAATAAGCAGGATGTGGGTTGGAAGAAATCTCCCGGCGGAGAAGCTTGTTAAAGGTGTTGACATAAGCATCGGGACGAGGTCTCTTCTTGGCGAACACTCTCCGACCACTGCACGGCCTAGGGCTAGCCGATTTTCGCCTTCCTTCCATACCAGCCTTTTTTTCTCTACAGACTCTTCACAAAGAAAGCATCTACAAACAACAGAAGCCAACTTCAGGAGGGAATTCAGCACCGAAGATCGGAGATCGGAAAACAAAGAAAGAAAACCCTAAGAAAAGTCTTCCTTAAACCCTCTCCAACAGCGGAGCGGAGCGGAGAAGAGAAGAAAGGAGGGAGCTTTCATTGAAATTCGGTATGTATAGGAGTGAAGGGGCTGAGGAAATGGTATGAAGGAAGGATTGCGTTGGGAGCACAGGGGTAGAGCAAGGAAGGGAATGATGGAAGGAGAAGGGAAAGGGAAATTCCTGCTCTTACAAGACAGGGACACTGTAATATATCCCATGTGAGAGATTTGAAGCCACTTTCAAAATTTTGGATCTGTCCGGACTGGTCCCACTTTACATAAGATCCAGGATTTCTAGTACCTACTTGTACCCAATAAATGTATTGAAACTCTCTCTTCTCCAACAAATAAAAACTTTAAATTGTACATTCATTTGAAAAGAAAATGTAATCTGTTCTTAATTGTTTTGAAAGTTTGAAATTTTAAATTAGTATTATTGAGTTTAAATCTTAAATAAAGAGAAAGAGATTAAGTCAAGAAAAATAAAGAGTTATTTTTATTGTATAATTTATTATTTATTACATAAAAATTTTAAAAAGAAAATACACAAAAACTTAAAGGGAAGGAAAGAGAAAGAAAAAAAAGTTTTTTATTTAGGGATAAAAAAATTAGAGATGAAAGGAGCATGAATTTTTCTTTTATTTTTTTAAATTTAATTATTTAATTAAATAAAATAATAAAAAAATATAGTTCTTCTCCCCTTCATTTTCCTTATCTCAAATATATGATTAGTGTTTTTTAAAAGTTTTCCCCTGACAAACCAATAATTAAAAGCTTAAGTCTCACTTCAACCTTAGGAGTTATACT